ACGTTTTAAGGTTGTACAGAAAAACTGTAGAAGCTGCCTTGCATACAATCCGGTAAGAGCAAGTTTACATGTGTGAAATGCTAACAAAGGCATCATACTCTAGAGCACATAGATGTTAAACCACATGCTCAACGTACCAATAGTTGATCCAACGAAGCTAACAACATACAACGTCAAGGTCGACAAATCCCGCTCGACAACCACATATCAGCTCCAATCCCGACGAGTAACCATGCTATTCAAAACAAGCACACATACAGTCTTTACATTCAAACATCGAAAACAAACTTTTTTCCAACAGCCGGTGGCAGTAGAATATGAAGGAGAGTCATTTAAATTTCAGGCCTTGATTTACCAAGGTTATTGCCTCAAAAAAAAAAAAAAATAAGATTATCGTTCGACCATTTCATGCGGGAAATTTCAGGATTGTATGGCCGCAAGGTCCAAAATTCCTCTAAGCTTTGTTCATTGACTCTGGTTTCTTCCGACCAAGCAAAGAATTAAGGCCCATGCAAAAGTGTTACCTCAGTTGGCATAGCTTCTAAGGAACTTCACAATGAGTCGTGGAAACTAGCATGAGCTCAAAAGCCTCGAGTTAGTTGATCCAAATTGTCGTATTTCAACTCAAATCGAAAATTCTATCGGCAGCGAACTTATTCCACAAATTTTGGTGGAAGGAATGCAAAAAGCTTGCGACAATCTTCTCGGGCAAAATACCATATTTGGATGGGTATTTAGTGGCAGGTATATTCATTTTCCACGCAAATAGGACGAGTTTCCAATGAAATGCTCAGCGCACAACTGAAAAAATTCTGGGACCAGGGGGAAATCTATATACCTCATTGTCAGTTGTTGCAACAACGACCCGTAATACAAACTGTCGCTACATTGTCAGGATTCAATTCAAGAAGACATTTCCAGAAAAACTCACCCTAGGCCATTCCCGGTCTGCGGCGTTCCAGCAATTTCTTAGCATGGAACGCACAATTTAGATGAAAGGCGAGTTAAAGACAATGTACAACAATGTGTTGCAAGAATATATAATGTTGGGTAACTACCATTCGTTCTATTTGCCACATAATGCCGTTGTAAAACCACATAAAGTCATGACAATTGTGCACCACATTTCGCTATCCGTGCTCTGCATCAATTGACATAAAATACAAAAGTGAAGTTTTTACTGGCCACACCAATACTCAAAACCCAAACGTATGTTGTTGATGTTCTGTTCGGAAGTCATGATATTGACGATGCCACCGATTTCCAAGGGATCACAGCGCGAAAGTGAGTTGGCTTGATTCTAGAGAAATTAACGGCCAATAAACCAGCCATATTGGAGAACTCCCGATAGAAGACCTTCTCGACTCCAACTTCTTGAAATTCGAAGATACTACCACCACCAAAGCTTTCGGTATACGGTGGAACGAATTAACGGACAGGATCTCGTACATCATCCTGCCAATTTCAGCAACCACAGCTGCGCAAAACTTTTTGACCCGGCAGGATGGCTATCGCCAGTTATGATACGAGCAAAGATTCTACTTCAAGAACTTTGGCTCGATGACATTAATTGGGATGAATGCGCAAAACCCACTTCAATGGTAAAATGGCAACAGTTTGCTCAGAACTTGCCAGCCATTTCCGACAACGAAATTTTTCGATGGCTCAACTTAACTCCGCGGCGGGATACCCAAATCTATGCGTTTCTCGGGAAAAGCTTTCTGTGCGCGCAGAAGCAAATACTCATGTTATATCCATCCTACTGGTTGCAAAAAGCAAAGTTGCTCCGTTGAAAACGATAAGTCTTTATCGCTTAGAGCTGAGCGGAGAAATACTATTAGCAAAGCTGACTGCAACTATCCAAAACTAGCTAGGCTTAAAAACGCGCAACACATTTTTATGGTCAGACTCTGAAATTGTACTGGCATGACTCGAAAAATGTCCGTGCACATGGAAGATATACATGTTTCATCGCACTTCCCAGATTCGGGAACATATAACAAGGGGAGTATAGCACCATATAGCAAGCGGAGATAACCCCGCTGATCTCGGCACACATGGTTGCAAACCCCAAGATTTAGCCACCAATTCACTCTGGTGGCACGGACCAAAGCGGTTCACATATCACATCGACTCTTGGCCTCATTCAAATGGCCGCAGTACCTCTCCGCCATAAAAGCGTGAAATTGAGGCCTTTCATGCGCTCGAAAAAGATCCCGATTTTCTTGATCGATTCTCTTCACTTTCTCGAGCAATTTGCGTGCCTGCGAACATGTTCCGTTTCGTGAACAATATAAAAGGTAAATAAAAATACAACCAATAACCACCATGCCACATCTGACCCATGCTGAATGCCAAATCGCAAAGGAGCGTATAATCGAAGTATCGCAATCTCTCTATTTTCCTTGCGAAAAAGTTGCAAAACGAAACAAAAAACCAATTGACAAAAAAAGTTCACTCCTCCACCTGAGTCCGCTCCTGAATAAGAACGGACTTCTCCGCGTCTATGGAGGATTAGCGCATGTCACACTCAGCTATAATGAGCAACACCCAATAATCATCCCAAATGCATCAAGGTTTTGCCAATCATATTTGAAGTTCCTACACGCACTACTTCGCCATGCAGAAACGCGCCTTTTACTTCAAATGGTCAGGCAAGAATACTTCATACCGAAGCTAAATTCCTTAATAAAAAAATGAATTTTTCAATGCAAAGCTTGGACCCACCTAATCTCCGCTCTGCTCACTGGGCGGTGAGCAATGTCCCTACCATTTTCTACAACTGGAGTAAACTTCGCAAAGTTCTTTTTAATAAAGGCCTCAGTTCCAAGAACCACTACGCTCATCAAAGGCTACGTTGCCATATTTGTGGGCAGAGGGTATCCGGCCAAAATGATTACCGATAATGGCAAAATGTTGATCGGGGCACAGAGAGAAACTGAACGCGAACTTGTCAAATTCTTTGACGAATGTTCAGCAGACGTTACCCAGAAGTATGCTTCCCAAGGCAATATATACCAACCAACGCCCCACATATGGACGGCCTGAGGAATCTGCAGTAAAGAATTTTAAAATTCATTTCAAGAAAAACGCTGCAATCCTCAAATTTACATTTGACGAGTTCACGACACTCTTAATTCGAATTGAAGCTGGACCCAACTATCGGTAAATTTCAACCTTATAACAGGACCCAGCATTCAGGGCGCTCCGCTATTACCCATTACCGAGCCAAATGCAGAAACCCTCTCGTTAATAAACCTTTGGAAGAAAGTCAAAGCACTTCACCATCAACGCCGCTGGAAACAGGAGTATCTGCAAAAGAGATACAAGTGGAAATCTCCACAGGAAAAGCCTTAAGTTGGCGACTGCGCCGTAATCCGAGACGACGGTCTCGGTCGAATCAAAAATATTCATCGTGGGCCTGATAATTACAACCGTGTAATGGACCTCAGCACACGAAACACGATTATCACGCAGCTCTAAGTAAATACAACCTTCGCTCGAAACAGAGCAATAAAGAGAAATTATCCTCTTGATCCTATACACCTGCTTACATATGTCAACTATCGATTGTTCCGTTTTTCTTCCATTTCCAGAGGAAGGACACCAATGGCAAAGCGCAGTGCATTTCCTCTCGTGCCGACGGCAGATACTCTCAACTGCCTGCAGTGTTCGCTATGCCATTGCTACCACGCCTTGCGTAATTGTGCCGCCTTCCCAGGAGAAGAAGAAGCAGCACTCAAACCTTCACCACACAGCAGTGCGTAACCCAGCAGCATGCCACAAGGCAGCACGCAGCTCAACAGCGTGCCATGAAGCAGCGTGTACCTAAGCAGCAAGTAACACAACAGTGTACTACCCAGCGGCGTGCCATAAGGAAAAGGCCGCGGTGAAAGGTTGCGCTCAATAGCGCATACGGCCACGGCTAGTCAGCGCATCCCTTCTGAGCGGGTAGGATGTTTAAGCACGCAACATAAATATTATTTCAAAAGCCGTGCGCACCAACTTCCGGTTTCCCATTCTTCCTTTCAAGCGGCTATTCTTCTTGCCGTGTATACCATACTGCGTTAGACGAACTATCGTTTTACCGCTGTAGTTCGAGCTAACAAAAAAAAGGTATGCTTAAATACTAAAAATCCAACCACCTACGCGCACGCACGTCGTATTTTATAAACTCAATGATCAAATGAGCTTTTCTTATAAAAAAAAAAACAAACAATTATATACTAATAATAAGATATAATTATTTATGAAATAATAAGTAAATAAAAATCAGTAATCAAGTGTTTGTGCACCATAAGTAGAAAAAAAATTACTTTATTTTTTTATATTATATAATTTTTCTTGGCACCTAATTTCCACCAAAGTCAAGGCAAATTATTTAACAGGCACTTTCGTTCCGGAGACTGTGACAGCACATTTAACATGGTGCGAATACTAAGTAGACAAAATAAGGTTTTACAATTTTTTTCATCTCAATGCACAAGTCCTACATAATAAATATTATGATACAATTTTGAGTCGTTTGATATTGGTGTTGTATGTGTTTCTGAGCATTGGTTTTCTACGAGATATATAAATTTGTGTGAACGGACAGGACAGTTATGCACTGCCTTTTGTTTGAAGGCCTATCACCTGTTCTTCTTTGCCCTACTTAACAGGCACTAGCATAGCGCCTAGCTTAAATGTTTAGTACTTATTTGTACGTATACATATGTATATAAATATGTGTATGGGAGTGGCTATTCGCACACTAAGTGCACAATATGTGTACTCTAAGTGTATGTGTTGTGTACAAAGTGTACGAGAAGTGTTCAAAGAGTACGAGAAGTGCGGGATAAGTACACAATAAGTGTATGAGAAATGCGTAGGGTGGCCTCTTTGGTAAAATAAAAAGAGAAATTTAGAGCGGTGATTTTTTGCGGCTGCCGCAAACACCAGAATCGCTCTCTTTCGGTTTGTCCCTTCCCTTGGCTAACGAAAAGAGAAAGATATAGGGATAATTTGAACATATGAAATTTCCACTTAAAGTGGCCATAATTTATTGAAAATAATAGAGAATCTATATTTTATTGTGCTACAATTGAGCTTTTTTCGATCCTCTAGGGCGACCTCGTCCTCGTTTTTGACATGGTGTTTTAACAGTTTGTATTTCTGAAAAAATATAAGTAAAATTAATAGATGTTTTCATGAATATTTATGTATGTATGTGAATTTTACCTGAAAAATCTTCTATTATGCTGATTGAATTTTCTTGGTCTATCGGTTGCTCAAAGTGAACTGAGTAGTTGCCAGCTTCTAAGCTCACATTTACTTTTTGCAAAAAAGTTACATCCAAATCATTTGTTAAGTGTTCGTGGAGTTTTGTGACTATATTCTCTATTCTTTCTAACTCATCATCGTTTTTTTGTCGTGCAAAGGTTTCAATTTTTTGCAAGGCTTTTCGCAGAGCAAGCAATTTGGCTGTACAGAAGTAATTATTTATATATTTTAAAGATTGTATTTACACGTATGATTCACTAAGCTTACAGTCAGTCATATTGTTAGAATTATGTTGATTTTCTTCCATATCTGACAACTCGTCTTCAGACAAATCGTTTGGCTCGTGATTGTGCTTCACCGTTAATTTCGTGACATGCAANTATGGCAGCTTTAGATTTTATTAATCTCAATAAATGTGTCCTAACGACATTGAACATTAGCACAGAAAATATAGATTCTCTTTGATGTTAAAAGAAGAAAACGATATATCATTGTTGACAATATGTCCAAATAATACATCGTATGTGTTCTCGCTCGCAATATAACATCGTAAATAAAAAATGATATAACATAACTAGCTGCATTTGGTTTTTTAACTTTTTGACAATAGGAGTTCAAAATCATGACTATATCTTTCTCTTTTCGTTAACCAAGGGAAGGGACAAACCGAAAGAGAGCGATTCTGGTGTTTGCGGCAGCCGCAAAAAATCTTCGCTCTAATTTTCTCTTTTTATTTAAACAAAGAGGCCACCCTACGCATTTCTCTTACACTTATTATGTACTTATCCCGCACTTCTCGTACTTTTTGAACACTTCTCGTACACTTTGTACACATCACGTACACTTAGAGTACACATATTGCGCACTTAGTGTGCGAATAGCCACTTCCTATGTGTATATGTATATTTAAATATGTAGGTATATATATATATATATATGTAATTATTTCTATGCGTTGCGTATATATGTATTTCATGTATATGTACACATATGATTGTAATTATATATATAATATATGCATGTATGGATGTTTATATAACTTCTCTTTTGTTTTTGTTGCTGTGGAGGCTTCAAGGCCTTGGACTTGGGGTCTGCACACCCCCCTTTTACTTACCATAAGGACGTGTTGTTTTCATCTTTCTGTTCTCTGCTTTTCGACATCTGTTTATTTCTACGGTTCTTCTTCTTCGATCCTTCGGCTTATTCTTCTTCGAATCTTGTTCTGTGCTTAGACTTCTTCGAATTAAGTTCTTTTTCTTCTTTGTTTCTTCGGTTCCTTCTTCTGTTTTTTCTGCATCTACTTCTCTGTTTCTTCGGTTTCTTTTTCTTCTTTTGGTATTCTTCGGCTTCTTCTTCTCTCGTGGTTCTTCGTTTTCACCTTCTGATTTATTCTTTTTCTTTTTCTACGAGTCTTCAGCATCTTCGTCTTCGACTCTTGTTTTTTGCTTAGACTTCTTCGAATTCTGTTTTTTCTTCTTTATCGACTCTTGATCTGGCTTAGATTTTCTCGATCTCTGGTTCTTCTTCTTCTTATGTTTCTTCGGCTTCTTCTTCTCTTACCCTACGGCTTCTTCTTCCTTGACCCTTGTTCTTTTATTAGATTTCTCCGAGTTATGGTGTTTCTTCTTCTTTGTTTCTGAGGATTCTCCTTCTTCTGTGCTTCTTCGGCTTCTTCTTCTCTTACCCTACGGCTTCTTCTTCCTTGACCCTTGTTCTTTTATTAGATTTCTCCGAGTTATGGTGTTTCTTCTTCTTTGTTTCTGAGGATTCTTCTTCTTCTTCAGTGACTCTTCTATTTCTTCGCTTGTTTGTTGCCTCGTCTACTAACGGAGTTTTGCTTGTCTCACTCATACCCGCACATTCTCGGCCAGTAATATCGTGCTGTTGCCTTTTCAATAGTTTCCTTAGTGCCCATGTGTTTGGGATTGGGACTGTCATGAACTTCGTTCATTATTCTTTGACGTAATGGGGTTGCTACGCAGAGCTTCCATGGGATGGCGTTTTCTTCATCTGATATGTGGTGATACAGTTCTCCACTTTGTATCATGCAGTCTGGGAACTATTCCGGAGCCATTTTAACTTCTCTTACTTTGGTTTTTAGCCATCTGCAGTTGGTCGCTGCATTTTCTCCGACCACTATATTCAGCTGCTATTTCCTCTTACAATCGAATGTGCTGCTGCGCTGCTTTATTGGTTTACCTCCTTTAGTAACGTGTTGTTTGGTATTACTCGCCTTTCCTTCGTAGACCTTCATAGTCGAACATGAAATTTTCGTTCGTGACTCGCCTTCTGCATTCATCTGTCCTCCGCAGCTAATAGTTGTGTCGCTTTTACCTGGTAATCTGTCACGTGGATCACGTCGTCGATTACAACTCGTAGGACAAGTAGTTCGCTCGTGTGCTCTTTGTCGCCCATTTGTGTAGTTGCTTTCACTGCTTCTGTGACCAATCTCGCTCTACCATCCCCCCCAATTCTCGGGTGCGCCTTTAACTCTACTTTGGAACCGTATGGTAATTCTTCGCCGCGTTTGATGATACCCAGTGGGTCCTTGCCGCCGTCATATCTCACACCCCACTTGCGAACGTGGTCCATAACTGATTGGTTGGACAATTGTGGGTAGACGTGGGTATACGTCTAGATCATACGGGGATACAATCCCGTCCCGCCGTCATTGCTACGGTGCTGTACTGGCGGCAACTGAAGGCATTCTTTTTGCTTCGGTGTGGGCGTGTTTGTTATCTCGGATCATTTCGCGTGTCTCGATGATAAGTCTGAGACCCGATCACGTAGACAGCGTTTCCGTTACTCGTTGACGGTGCCTATAGTCGATAGGCCGAGCTCGGTGGAATATTTTATTAACTCCTCTTTGTTGGGGAAGTAAACCCAACTTACTTTAACCATTTTAATTAATTTTTTTCTCTCAGGCAAATGTTATTGTGCCTCGCACTTAAGTCTCTATCACTTCGTTTTATTTTATATATATGTATTGTGTGTCACTGCCGCTCGTATTCGTGCGCACTCGTGTTTTTACTTCACTTCAATTAAATTCCACTATTGGCCCTTGTTACTTGGCCCTTACTTTCCTCAATTTTAGAGGGCCCCACGTTGGGCGCCAATTGTAATGTATCCGGTTCTCCGGTTTATTGCTGGGCTATCAGCCAGCCGGATTATGGGTCTCATCTATAATTTCGATTCCCAAAAGCGCAAAGCAAAGGACAACATGAATAATTCTACGTTACACAATAAACTTTATTATTTAAATATTCTACTGGCAGTGTTTTCACGTCAGCCGTATATCTTAACTGAATCGTACTGACAGCGTTTTCACGTCAGCCGTATATCTCTATAGGCAGCGTTTTCCCGTCTGCCATATATTTCTATTGACAGCGTTTTCACGTCAGCCGTATACATTTATTGGCAGCGTTTTCACGTCAGCCATATACTTCCATCTACTCCAATTGGTAGCGTTTGCACAACACACCATATACTCTATCTACGACAGCACAAACAGAAGCGTCAGTTATGCAGTTATGCACTGCTTTTCAATGGTAGGCCTATCACCTGTTCTTCTTTACCCTACTTAACAGCGACGACTCGCTATGCTAGTTCCTAGCTTAAATATTTAGTACTTATTTGAACGTATACATATACATATATGTTTATATAACTTCTGTATTGTTGTTGTTGCTGTGGAGGCTCTAAGGCCTTGGACTTGGGGTCTTCACAATAGTGTTTGTTAAATCTTGTTTGTCCTGTAGAATTAAATGTACATCAGAACCTTTTGGTCAATTGAACACATATTTGTCGAAATCAAAACTTATTATACAAAAATACTTGTAGGATGTATTTATAGGCCTCACAAATGCATAGCTTTTGACAATTTGATAGATATTATAGAAAGTCTTGGTCTTAGCTTCAATCATATTGTTATAGCCGGAGATTTCAGTGGTGACTTGCTTATTAAAAACAGACTATCCCGAATAGTGCAAAAGCTGGGTATTTTTCTTGTGAATACTTCATCCCCAGCACATTACACTGAAACTTGCAGCACCTTATTGGATATATTCTTTGTTGGTGATAAGCCAGAAATACTAATACTGTCCGTTCCGAACTGTTCCATGCACGACCTCATTTTTTTGATATTAGATTTTGAGCTATTTAAATTTTAATATACATACAAATATGGAGTGTAGCTTCTAGGTATGCTGTTACAGCTACGAGGCTATACTCAATTCTTACTCTTGCGTCCACCTCGCGCAGCCCGGAAACGTGTGCAACCTTTGTGCAAGATGCGGTAAACAACCCGTGTGGAGTCTTGGATCACGATTAATGAGAGAAGAAGCTTCAGTGAAGCCACTCTGACTTGTTGGGTTTAAGGGTCTGCTGAAGTCTAATTGCAGCGTTTTTTCAGCAGAGGTGTGGCTGCAACAGAGTGTCGGTCTTGAAGCAAGCGGCTCGCTTTATAAAAGTGTAAAAAATTTAAACTTACTCGTTTAGCGTTGTACGCTGGATGTGGGACCTACCACGTAGAAACCAGCTCCAATGAAAAAAGGTACAACGCCTCGGATGCGATGGCCTATTCTATTGACGACACCCGCAAACGATTTAAGGATCACGATTTGGGAAGATTCTGCTGCCCTTCTGGTTGATGACCTCGTAATATTAAACGCTCGTAATATTAAAAGCTGACATCACATCACCAAGAGGTGCGGTGGAAGGGACGAGGACGAAAGCGAAAAAGTTCTAGTGATATTTACTAAAGCGGCCATATAAAGAGCGCAAATTTTTTGTTGGATTTGCGGTGGGAGAGAGACTCCGTTGTCGAGTACTGGCATTCACTCCCGTGGATGAGCATCTCGCCACAATCCGCATCAAAGCGAATTATTCTTAGCAAATCGTTAATTTGAGCCTAAGTTCCTAAGAAATAGAGGGGCGATTTGGCCAAGATGCCTTTTTTTGAGCCTTTCGTTGAGCGTGTGGCGTACTCATAAACTGGAGAAGCTGCCCCATCACGATGTGAAAACCGTGCTTGGTGCGTGTGAAAAGAAATTGTATTGGTATGACTGCTGGACAATTCAGCCTTCACAACGAAAAATACCAAAAAAAGAATGAGGCCGAGAGGCATGAGTATGACGAGCTTTAGAAATTAGTCGACAAGGGTAACGCTCGACAATTCTGTGAGAAGATGCTGTGGGAAGAAGCTTACGGAAGGTTTCAAGACCGGAGCAAATTCTTGTAGGTCACTAAGAGGTGTTCTAGTTACCGACGCACAGAGTATATAGAATTTATGGAGGGAACATTTCTCGAGGGAAAAGGCGTTCTATTACCTGACCAAGAAGAAGTTCAAATAGCAATCTCCCGCTTAAAAACGAC